ACTTTGGTTCAGGGAGGAAGAACTCAAGATTTCTGTTTTTCAATGATGTAATCAAGATACCTATCAGACCTACTCTCCTTGAAAAATATCCTCAGTAAGACAGAACATCATTGTACATACTAGCTGCCAGGCACTGAGCTTAACAACTGAAATGTATTTTCTCAAACTTTTAACAACCTTAGGAAGTGGGTGGGTTGGTTCTAGTTCAAAAATCTATTTCTTCTCAAGGGGTCATCCCCACTTATACATAGGGTGATCTCTCATATCTATTCTCCGGTCAGAGAAGCTGGTGGAGGTATAGACAGATGTGACAAACTGAACCAACTGTGTTTTCTTTTTGGAAAATGAAAACTCTGAATAGAAAATTCAGAAGTTAGGAGTCAGAGGTACTCAGTCACAGTGCTCTGAGTCCCTAGTACTGCTCTCCTTTCTTTTCTAATATACAGCTAGTGAGATCTGCATTTGATTGATATTATTCCACTAATCATCTAATAAGCCATTTCCATAGTCCATTCTGTAGCTTGCAACCAAAAACCCCTTAACCAATAAAAATAGTGTTTCCCTTTTACGGAAAAATGAATTTAGACTTTAAATAAGTACTTGTGCATCATCTTGCTAATACGTGACAAAATCAACATATGAATCAAGGTCCGTCTCACTCAAAAATTCATATCATTTACTAGGGCCACCCTGCCTGTAAGCACTGTAGTTAAGGCCATTTTTCTTGACATATATGGAATTGTGCTGAGTCCTATTTGCTTTCTCACCAAGTAAATTCCACATATCCACATACCTTTAGAAAAGCTATCCAGGGAAGAGGACAGAATCTTCAGTGAACTAAAATTTAACCCTGATGATCTACTAATGAATCCAATCCTTAGACTTCCTTTACTGGGACTTTTATCCATTGAGCTAAACAGTTTGGTCATACTGACAAGGAGAATATATCAGTGTTGACCAAGCTCAAGTGGTCATACCTTCTCAAGAAGGAAAATATCCAGAACAGACTAAAGACAAGCTCAACTATACTTATGTCCAATAGGATTTCATAGAGTAGCAAGTGTTTTCCCAATAGATTAAAACATTTTAACTAAACTGATTAGAGCTACATAGCTATAACAGGCCTTTGGTTTTTAGGCTATGGGGCTGTCTTGCACATCCTGATGAATAGGACACAATATCTAAAGTTAATCAGGACAGGCAGAGACAACTACATCTTCTTAGAATATCATCAGGTCATGCTGAGAAGAATCTAAATACAATATCAGGTAAATTTTCAGAAGTCAAGATTTAAGTTGTTCATCTTCTGTTACAGAAGTGATCTTATGAGGTAGAAGCAAAAGTCATCCAATTTTACTATAAGAGAAAGATACCAGGTCCTAAATACTTCTGTATGTCCTACTTCCCTTGCCTTAGTCTCTTATCTTTGGCTGACAACTTTGATCTGACAGTTGTCCCTTAGATTAATCTTGTGTCCTTGGACAATTTTCATCTAGTGCCTGAATTGAGCCATGCCCAACTCTGAAGTCCAGTTTTCAGCATCCCACCCATACTTTTTTCCATTTACATTGCCTCTTCCTAACACTACCATTCCTGTTGTGAGACCAGTGATACTCGCCTCCTATGAAGCCCCAGTACGGGACCGTGATTAGACTAACTGGAGCACACTTGCCTTAGGAATTTGCTTAGGCTCATCACCTTTAGTAAAGTGGTAAACTCTAGTCGTATGGTTAAACATTCTAGGAAAAAAATTACAGAATGGCAAATAGAGTAAAGAAGATGATGTTATAGTAGGTAGAAAAACATTCCTAATCCAACATGCTCCTGCATAAAAAAGGATACCACTTTTCCTTCTCTACTCTTAAGAAATGCCCATTGTGGATGCTGAAGGTCAGAGATAGAAAGAGACAATAGTTTTGTTAGAAATAGGAGCCAAGACGATCCAATAAGCTATGGGTCCCCTTCTTCCCTCACATAGTTGTGGCCACTTCACTTATATTCCCTATAATTTCCCTATAGACGCCCATCATATCATTTACTATACATTAAACATTTCCCATATTCCCCTTTGTTTCTTTGGAAGGATCATATGCCTCTCGATCAAAAATAGGACCTATATAAGGGCTTTTGTTAAGCTTTGTTTGCTACCCTGTATTTACAACAATGATCATAGTGCCTCAAATATACTAGGTAGGGCCCCAATAAGTATCTATTGCCTGTATGAAAATTGGAGAAGAGATATTCCAAACAGTATCCACCAACAGATCAGTTTCAATACAGAAAAAGCAATGTCATTTGGGAAGCTCTATTTTTTTTGCTAGCAGAGTGAAATCCTATGATTTTTCCACTCCACTGATTCATTCTGAACATGGTGTCAGGAACAATAGAGGGGCAAAAAACAATTAGTGGGGGAACAAAACAATCAGTTGAACCGTCCAGAATTTGAGCAATGTATAGATCAAATGTCTTAAATTTGCTAAGCTTCTTCTCATTTGGCCAGAATGGATGGTTCTTGGCTGCACTGTACCAAGAATAATTGTCCCTCATATATCCCCAATCAGCTGCCTTTTAATGACTAGTCAGAAGTGACAATGTAAAGGGTGCAGTGACTTTCACTGTACTTGGGCACTTTTGGACTAACTCCCATTGATTTGCCCTTGGAATCAGGGAGCTCATAGACACCTTGCACAATTGGCCACAGTCACTGCTCCTTGCCTCCAACAACACAGCATCTCTGAGTTAGAAGAGACCCAAGAGGAAGAAGTGAGATGTCTGAGGTGACCTTTAGTTCTTATGCTGCTGTTGTAGACAGTGGAATATCTACAATACCATGGCTTACATCAATACAGTCTCCTGAATCTCAGCAGTCCATGACCTCTTACCCCCCCCAAGCCATCACCAGGGCAGACTATCCTACAAAGATATTTGGAAAGAGTTAAGGTACTTGACAGACTGATCAGACCTATGTGACCTATTTCTATTCTAGATGGCTGCCTCATTTTAGCTCATATTCTGGTAGTTGCTGCATTGGAAATTCAGTGAATCCAAACTCAAGTTCCATAAGCTACAAAAACATTCTCTTGCCTAGGTGTGGTGCTGCATACCTGTAATCTAGGCTACTACTTATTAAGTGGAGATTGCCCACTTATTTGAAAAATAAGATAGGGGTGGGGGATACATGTCTGTAATTCAGCTATAGGTAGGAGGATTGTGGTTAAAAACCAGCTCTAGGGAAAAAAATTAAAAAGACCTTATCTGAAAAAGAACTAAGGGAAAAAAAGAGTGCGTTGAGGGTATGGTTCAAGAGACACAGCCCCTACCCAGCAAAGTGTCACAATCTGAGTTCACACTCCAATACTACCCAAAATAATAAATGAATACAAATAAATAAATAAATTTCTACTTTTCTCTTCTAGCTTAATGTCCTTGTCCTGTTGTTGGTCTGACACTAAGAAAGATTTGCAGTTCCCTTTGGAATGCACCTTAACTAGTAATCCAGTTGTCCTCACAAAAACCACTCCTTGAAAACACCTTCTCACTGGTCATTCAGCACCTGGATCCAGCCTGGTCCGGGATCCCTCCCCATTACCAGACTTCTGATGCTTGGACAATTCCTGGCTACTACTGGTAGATGAGATTCTGCAGATCTGTTCTCAAGACATTCTTTCCTCCTCTGAATCTCCATGTCTTCCTGCTGTGCTCCATCAACAGAGCCTATGCCGAGAAGCCACTACCTTGGATCCTTGTATTATTGCTTTTTGTGTAGATGTCTCAACTCCTTCGCTAGATAAATGATAAACTCCTTGTGGGTGGGAATGATGTCTATTAAAGATGCAGTATTCTCAAAGCCCCAGGGCTAGTCCTCAAAAAATGGGTAACCATGTAAAGTATTATTCACATACAATACAAGATGTCAGCCCATGGATAGCAGCATGACTTTGTGTCCTGGCATACAAAAAATATAGATGAAGCTTTAATGTAGATACGGCTTATGGACAAGGATCTCCTCATCTTGATGTTGCCCCTTTGCAACCCTCTCTTCCCCAATCCATTCTGACTTTGTTCAGAAGGGAATAAAGCAAAGTGTTCAGCCCAACCTGGACTTCGCTCAGTTCCTCAGCTCTGCCACAGCCTCACATCTGTCTCTTGGCACACAACATGCCTTCTGTTTAGCTCACCCTCCTTCCTCCCACTTCTTGAATGGTCTCATGCCTACTCATGCATCATTTGAACTTAGGCATTTCTTCTTTACAGAAGCTTTGTCTGAATCCCTACAGTATGTTGGGTCTCCTCACAAGGACCTGCAAATTCTCTGTACCTTATCATTCATGATGTTGGCAATAGCTGTAACTGCAGAATAATCACTCATGTTTATTAAGTGCTTACCATATTTCAGGAGCCTATTAAATCATCTAATCATCATCAAAATCTAATGGGGTAGGTGCCTATTACCTCCTCTTTACAAATGAGGAAATCACATGACAAACTGGTATTGATTACCTTGAAGTCCACATGACTCTACAGGGGCCCCAGAATTCATGTTTGTAACCAGTCCATCACACTGCCACCTATAAAACTCACCATGGTAGCAATTATTTATTTCATTCCACTAGGCAGCCAGCTCCATGAGAACAGGGCCATAGCTGTCTGTTGAATATCCTATTTCCAAAGCCTAACCCAGGCACTGGTATACAGAAAGCACTAAAGAAGTATGAGTGAAAGAAATAAAGGAAGCAGCTCATTGGTTAGCACTCCTAGATCCCAAAAGAGACCCTTCACCTTCTTTGAATAGAAGATGCTTAATGAAAAATATATCGTGCTCATCTTAATGTCTACTCAATAGTTTCCCTTTCTGCCATCCAACCCTAGCCAAACAAATCAAAACACTCAGAAGAAGAAAGAGTGTGATGTGGAAATCAGGGAACCCAACAACTCTTCTTGGAAGAAGACTAGCCCAGAGATGCACGTGTAACTGCTCAGCCCTCTCAGACCCAACTCACCCCTTTCGCAGGTTCTTCCCCAGTAGCCCGTGCCAGTGCAGTCGCAGATGAAGCGGTTCCAGCCATCCTTGCATACGGCGTTGTTCTTGCAAGGGTAGCTGTCACACTGCTTGGCGCTCATCCGTGAACAGGAGGACTTGACGCCCGCGGCGTTCTGCATCTCCGCCAGCTGCCGGATGTTCTTGCTGCGCCCATCGATGAACAGGTCACGGATGCAGCCCACGTAACCATAGTTGAGCATGGCGGTCCAGAGCTCCGTGGGGAGGATGAGGCCAGCGCGGTTCTCCGGCAGCCCGCCCAGGTACATGTCCCCTTCCAGGTCCAGAATCTCACTCTCCCCACTGGCGGTGAATGGCGTGCGCCTGCTGTTCACTGATATGGTACCTGGTGGAGCAAGGACCACACAGAGTGAGCTAATGTCTCTCTTGCATCTCAGGCGAGCCTGCTAAGTGATTGAGCAAAATGAAAGGAGCTCAACAGGTGAATTCTGAGACCAGCGTTGTCTGGTCAGGAGAACAGTGAAAGCAGGGAATGAAATGCTGAAAGATGGTGAAAAGAACCAGTGGGTTGCAATCCCTGCTAGCTAAGACAACCTAGCCTATAGGAGGACCTAGAAAAACGCCAGTGACCCCTAGTCACTACCCCTAGTCACTACCCAATGGTCTTAGCTCAGAGGTAGCCTGCCAAACAGAGCAAGCTCAGCATAGCTCCCGCCTGTGTTTAGATCCCAGCTGTATAACCCTGAAGTGATTTCACCTTCCTGTGCGTCAGTTTCATCTGTAAACATGAGAAAATGAGTATTTCCACCTCACACACTAGTGTGCTGATTAAATGAATTAATATAGGTAGAGTGCTTGTAGTAGGGCCTGAGTCAGAAAAGACTCTGCAAGTATTTGCCTGAGTCCTCTTTAACAGGCTCATCATGCCCCAAAAGGATGGAACTTCCTCTTCCATATCTCCCTCCCTGCACTGATACCATGTACACTGCGTATCAACTGCCAGCCCTACCCATTTTTGCTATTGCTTTTGATAAATTTGAGCTGTAGCTCAATTTTGTTTCTTTATTCATTTAATAAATGGGTATTGATACCTCTTCTGTCTCTGTATATTTCTAGGCACAGAAATGAGCTTGTCAGGCCTATACCTCTTCTCACTGAGCTGATGCTCCAGATTAGAAAGACATAAAGTCAACAAATAACACAGTAAACAAGAAAAATCAGGTGATGGCAGGTGCTATGAAGATAGTCAAATGGGTGCCAGGGTAGAATCCCAGAAGTTCTACTTTACAGTATGCAGTCAGTGAAGACCTCTAGGTAGGTGACGGCAGAGGGAATGGTCCCAACAAAAGCCCTGGGGCTGGAAAGAGTTTGGACATAGTGGAGGAGGCAAGAGGGAATGAGAGGGATAAGGCCAGAGACATAGGTGGATATGGAGAGGGCTGGATAATGGGCACCATCAAATGAGATTCTAAGGGGTGACCTAGTGACTGACCTGGGAACCTGGAAATAGGAATTCTACTCCTACATGGCTTTCTGACCGTAGGTCAGTCCCTGAGTCACTTTACAGCTCAATTTCCTAATCTGTAAAATCAAGGACATGAACTAGGTGCCAGAAATTTAAAATTTACCTAAATATCCTGCCAGAAATTTTTTAAAAATTATTCTTCGAGTGCTTCATTGGTACCAAGATAACCCTCCATCAGTCAGCCTTCATTTCTGTCTCTTGTAAATCTCAGCTAGGAAGGTGTAACCTGAAGGGCTGAGCAGATAAAATGGGATCAAGAATGTGAAGAATGCTCTCAACTAGAAAGTCAGCATGGTAATAATTAGAGAAATATGCTTTGTCTCTTTTTTTGTGGTGCTAGAGCTTGAACTCAGGACCTTGTGCTTGCTAAACAAGCACTTTACCACTTGAGCCACTTGAGCCCTTCCATTTATTTTTTAGACAGGTAGGGTCTTATGATTTTGCCTGGGCAGGCCTGGGACTGTCATCCCCCTCCCTCTGCCCAACTGCCTTTTATTTTAAAATTTAAAAAACCTACCCAAACAATAATAATTCCCTGGTTGTTATTTTAAATATTTTATGTGCTTTAAAAATTATTTATTTATCTGTGTTGAAGATCAATTCCAGGGCCTCACATATGCTAAACACATGCTTTATCACGAGCTATATCCAAGCACATTTATGCGCATATTTTGGGCTTCACCCTCAAAACAATCTTGTGAGGTAGGAATTGTTATTTTCTCTATGGTACAAATGAAGAATTTAGGATTTATATCTTTTAATATCTTCTCTTGCACAATTTCCCTTCTTTACTCTCCAGATGTTCACAGGACTAATGTGATCACCACCTAAAGGAGAAGAATATACATTGCCAAGTAAGGACAGTAATAGAATTGGTCTAAAATCTGGAGTCTGGGGTACATCCAGAGGAAAAAGCTGTCCTCCAAATATGTGACCAGTACTGTTTTGAACGCACTTGTCAGGTTTTAAGATTCACTTCCCCAACTGAGGAGTGATCATAAAAGTTTTTCTGGATTGTCTCTCAGTCATATTATTCTCTAGCATACTAAGGGAAAAAGATGCCACATTTGGACACACTTACTTTTAAAAATATCTATTTTAGAATGCATTTATACCTAATACCCTCATGAAGAAATGGAGTTTAACAGATCATATGAAAATATTAAGTTACACTGTTTTCTCAGAACAATTATTGTTCACTCAGTAAATTTTTATAGGCTTTAATCAAATTCATCAGTACATCAATGAATTGGCCAATGCTATAGCTTCCAGGTGTGAAATTCAGGGCTTTCAGAAGCAAACATATTTGTTGAAGATGGGCCCACTGATGGTTCTAATAAAACAAAATAGCTACCCTATTGTAAAAAAAGCAATTAGTGTTGGGAATAAACAGAAATGAACAAATGGTGGTGTTATGTGTTCTAGCCTACATGTGACACACATAGGTAAATTTTGGCTATGTCATGGTCTAGGTCAGTCAGACACAAAGTCCTTTAACTATGACCAGCTCCATATGTTGTTTTAACCAAAGTAACGGGTTGTTTGGGTTTGTTTTTGTTTTTGATAATTCTGAGACAGTTTTCCAGTTCTGCCCCTCCTGGCATTTTATTGATAAACATGAGAGAGAAATTCAGCCTCCAGAGAAATTAATTTTTCTCTTAAAAAGCACAAACTGTTTATTCTTGCTCAACAAGCACGTTTAATTTGAAGCCTCTTGGCTCCAATCAGATTTCTGACAATCAACAGAAATTTCTACTGGGCCATAAAACATCCAGGGCTGCAATCTGCCACTGTCTGCCCTTTGGACAGAACCCATCCAGCTCTTCCTAAGAGCAATGTTGCTCATCTCCGCCATCCCTCCAACTCTACAAAGACACAGAAAAGCTGTCCCATGGAAGCTCAGCCGTTTCTGGTTTCAGTCTTTTGGAGGAACCTCTTGTTTTCAAATAAAGACATTTTAAATTTACTAGGACAATGAATCCCTACAAGTTTGATGAATGTGGCCAAAACCTTTCTTGCATATGTTCTACCTAACTAGGGAATCAGAAAATGAGTCAGAAATTCAAGTGTTCTAATTACTGCTCTCTGGAAACACCTTTTTGGGTAGTGCAAAATGTAACCTTCATTGCCACATGGTCTGTAGACTGTAGAAAGCTAGGCAGACATTTCAGGCATTGCTCTCTTTGTTACTGTTCCAAAGTGGCTATGTACTGCCTGGGGCTAGCTGTTTGATCTGCAGCTGCAGAAACAAACAAAGCCATTTAAACCAAGTATAAAAGGTTATGAAGAGAAAGGGAGAGTTAGTGGTCTGAACAGAAGACTGAAATAGAGGCTTTCACAAAAGGTAAGGCTTTAAATTGAACATGACTTCAGGAAAAATCAATTTGCCTTTTTTCTTTCTTGTCATAATTTCTCCCTGCAACATGACTCTTGCCAATTATTGAAGGGTGTATCGTCACATAAACTCTTACACAGTGTAGCTTATCCTACAGAGTAATCACATAATGTAACATCTGTGATGTCACAATCTGTTTCCGCGGTGATGAGAAAAAGGGGAAGAAAAAGTGGGAGAGGAATATTATACTGGTGACATGATAGTCACTTTGGTAGCGTGGAAATGCTACTTGTAAACTCATCCTTGGCTCCAGGGTCTTAGAACTACCACCTGAACGATTATGTGAAGCATGACAAGGAAGATGGTAGGAGAATGTGAGCCTTCCATCAGACTGGACTCTTGTTCAGTCAATCATTAAAGAGAATAGCCAAAGATTCAATGAACATGCAAGTGAAAAACTTAAAACAAAAAATATTAAAGTAGGGAAAACAGAAGAGCTACAGCTTTTGTCTAGTCTCAGCCATGCACCCTGCCTCTTCCTACCTGATCTGCCATCTCGCTGAATGTCCACATGGTACCATTCTCCATCATTGGCTTTCTTCTGAGTGGCTTTCACTTTGATAGTGCCTGAGCCCATGTCAAGCAGCAAGTACAGGTTGCCATCAAGAAGTTCCACAGCAAAGAAGTCAACTTTTGTGTTCTTTTGGCTCCGAGCATCCTTTCTCTCTTGAGGCTTTCCATGAGTGAAGAGGATCAGGCCATTGGGCTCAGTGGTACGAAAGTCAAAGGAGATAGAGCCCATTCGTTTAGTGTTCCACTTGGGCAAGCTGATGTAAGCCTCTGGGGTCTCAAAGTTGATGGGGTCCAGTGTGGCTACATTCTCACACTTGAACACAACTTCACCATAGATTTTCATCTTGGTGTCCCCAATCCGGGCCAGGCGAGACAGCTCCAGACGGATGTCATTATTTTTATAAACAACCTGTCAAAAGCCAAACAAAAGTGTCATATGAATCAATCTTACAAACAGTATCCATCCATCACTGGACATCCAGAAAAAAGGTCCACGAAGAGGCTTTAGGGCATAATGGTCTGAAACAACATGAGGAACATGGGATGCAGCATTCAGAAAGCATCTGAAGAGACATCAGCTGTGCACACAAGCTCTGAATAAGCCTCTACATTTCCATATATGTCTCTTCTCTTTCTCCTTCTGGCCAATTTCTTGTGTTGCCAGAAAGTTATGGTGTGAGTTTGCAAGTAAAATTCAAGAGAGATTGAGTTGTATGGATGCAAATAGTTTCATACAAACATATTATCTGAAGCATCCTTACTAAAGACCAGAAACAACCCAATGACCATGAATAACACATGAAACACCTTTATAATGGAATATTATGCAGCCCTTAAATTGGTACTGCTCTTGTCTTGATATGGAGGCCCTCTGGGTCATATTATTAACTGAAACTAGCAAAGGGCAGAGTGTGTATTATGCTATCATTGTGTAAAAATGTGGGGGGAATGGGAGCTTATATATTCATACAAGCCTAAAAGATCTTTGGAAAGAAAAAGGAACTATTACATCATTGAGGAGATTTGTGAGATTCATGTTCAGAATTGGGAAGGAGACACATTTAACAATATCCTCTTTTATTATTGGATTTTTAAAAACCAGGTATGCATATTTCCTTTAAAAATGATTGTTACTAGTTGGTGAGGAAGAGGATCTGAGGTTTTTTTTTGCACACTGAGCATGTTCTCAGTATGGTGGCAAAATGAAGCACCCTGAAGCCCTAGTTCAGTCATTGGAGACATTTATTTAGTTGAGAGTGAGAATTAACAGAGAATACTGGACCACAGACTTATTTTCCCTGTAAGGGGTCTAGCAGGGCTTTCTGCCTCTACATCCTACTTAAGGCATCAGTATACTTGCGCACAACCATGACCACTGTCCCACATAGAGTAGGGAAGCAGGTAGGGAAGGTGAGGAGGCCAGTTAAAAAAACTAGTATAACTTCCAAACTTGGTGTAATCCATGTAAACACAGAGATTAATCTAGATTCCCAAAATTAGAATTTTAAGATAGTTTTCCTCTTCTTAGAACTAAATTTTGATGTAGTGCTCTGGGATGGTTCTTGGTACTCTGATCTTTGAGTGATGTCATATCCATACAACAGTGATAAACGGAAAAAGTTAAAAGGAAAGGGACCAAAATGTGAGAATGGAGCATGCAACCACTGTGCTATTTCCTTTACGTTATTCAAAGTTGAAGTCAGGACCCAGATTTAGGTTTAAATCTCACACTTACTATTTTTAAGCTATGCAACTATGGCAAATAACTTCTCTGGGTCTGTTTCCTCCTTAAAAATTAGAATATAGGATTAAACTGTTTTGTAAAGATAAAATGATTGAATTCATGTAAAATGCTTAGAAATGACCCATACATAGTAAAGACACAAAAGTTTTAGCTATTTGGGAACAGGGGTGTGAGGTTATTGTTAATCTCATTTCATCCTTTCCATAGCCCTGAGGAAGCCGAATTTAATTTCTCATTCCCAGTAAAACAACAAGGCTGAGGACTCAAATCTCACAATCTATTTCCATGGGAGAAACTTAACTGGATAGGTGATTTCAGTACATACCATTTAATTCCTAATATCCAACTATGGAACTATTTCTCTTGTCTACACATCACCAGGAGAGAATCAAGCAGAGCTGTTTGCTTTTTAATGAGTACACAAGAGTGATCTATAACTATGATGAAGCATTGAAAAAGCTTCATTTATTATGTAAACTTGACTGTAAACCTAACCTTGGTCAATACCACTGAGAACCATAATGATTCTAACATTTATCGAGCACCTGTTACCAGGCAATATAGCAAAGAGTTATCACATATCATCCCATTAGATACTGACAACATTCATTTGGGATACTTAGAATTATTCACTCATTTTAAAGGTGCTGAAACAAAGGAGAGTTAAGAAACATTCCACAAGCACAAAGCTGGTAAGTGGTAGAGCAGGACTTGAACCCAGGCAGTCAGCTCCAGAGTTCATATTTCACCAGCACAGATACATTCGTGGAACTAGCCTCCATCAACAGCACCTGTGGAGCTCAACAGCACTGTGGGAAGTAATGCAGGCTCAGCTTCCCTGTTCAAAAGCTGCATTTCTCATTTTAGCTCTTCTGAACTAACCATGTACAAAGGGTAATACTTCAGGCTCTTTAGGCAGTCATGCAAATGAATGAATCCAAAAAGCGAAAATAAGTTTAATGACTGGCAGCTCCAGCATGTGAGAGATCTCTATGTTATAACTATCCTTTGTCTTTCTGTTGTAGGGTGAAATGCCTGTGACTAGAGTTCCTTGTAAAGGTTAATTATTAATGGATAACAATAGCTCATCCCAAAGGACAGATGAAGGCTTTGTTCCATTAGACTGTATGTGGAAAGAGAGCTGAGGCATCCATCCTTATTGGAAGCTGGATGAAGGTAAAAAGACAAAGGGCTTTTAAATAGATAAGAGGAGCAACTCTTTTATGAGAAGAGCATATCACTGACATTGGGGAGGAAGGTGATAAGTAGAATGCATAATTCTAAAGAGGGGAGCAGGAGAATCAAGAGCTAGAAACTGGCTGGATAGAGATAATTAGACTTCTTTTGCCCACTCTTGGTGGGTGAGTACTCTATAGACTCCATGGCCCCATACTTGCTGGTCTATTTATATGGAATTTCCACTATGGTGAAAAAAAGAGCCAACAGTCACTGGCAGCAAAGTAACCTTTCTGAATCTCATTCCTTTCCAAAGGTAGGAGCCTCAGTACCATACCTACATACTGTCCCTTTTTGTTCTCCCAGGGCTGCTGTTAAGATCAAATGGAATGCTGTACATGATAGATCATGGAAAATTCTCAATTGGCTCACAAATCTAGAAAAAATAATACTATAGCTTCATCTGTAGCAGTCTTAGGGTTCTACTAGAAATTGAGGGGGCCCTGAAATGAAGTTCCATGGAAGATCTCGTACTAAACAGAAAGGAACAGAAGGGCAAGAGTCCTGAAACCCAGTAATATTCATGAGAAGATGCATCCTTGCCTTCCCCATTCACCCCTCTGTACTGAACCACAGTAATGGGCCACGAAGAAGTATATTGGCACCATGGATAAGTGCAATGGGGCATGGAAGCAGATAGCCCTGCCAGACCCTCTCCCAGGTAAATTAAGTGGTACAGTATCCTCTATAAAATCAAACTTTCAATTAAATGAATGTCCCCAACTGACTGACTGAACTAGGAAGAGATGTGGCATCGAGTGACAGAAAGCAGCCTTGGGTGACAAGTTGTCCCAACAAGAAGCAATTAAAGACAAAGTAGAAATGGCTTCCCATGGGGGAAGATGTCACACAGCCTGGGAGGCAGAGAAGCAGAGTCACAAAGAGTGACAAGCTGGTCTTACTTCCCCATCCATGAGTTTGTAAAGATGGCTGTTTGGACTTATAACTCATACTTGGGAGAACAGACAGTAAAACAGTTGAGGACAGAGTTAAGTTGAGTCTCAGAATTAAGATAAGGTCTCTAAGCAAATATACTTGTATTACTCCATGGTGCTCATATGGTGACATACAGAAAAAATACCAAGCAGTAAGGCAAGCTATGGGTGCAATAGGAGTATAATAAAAATAGTTGTTACTATGGAGAGCCTGTTATGTGTCAGGCTCTCTAAAAGCACTATTATATATCAATCACGTATTAAGTCAGTGAAACAGGTGATATTATCCCTGTTTTTACAGGTGTGAGGCTCAGGAAGGAGATCACATGGCCCATGAAGGACACAACCAGGATTTGCGCCCCTATCTCACTCACTGCAATGGGGCATGGTCATGCTCCAGAGATGGCAATTTCCAGGCCCTCCATCAGCCCATTCCTACACATAAAGCAGAAACCCATTTGCCATAGACAAAACTCACACCAAACTCCATCTTGACATGCAAAGTCCTTGACACCTGCTAGGACCCTTTCTCTAATGGATTCTCAGTCATTTCTCTAATGGACTCTTTCTGAGGAGTCACCTTGGAGGCCTATGTATGAGCTCAGGTGTTAGTGCTTCTGCATCTTTGCTCACTCCCTCTTCTCTTCAAGCTGTTTAAATGGACTCCTTCCCCAGGACTTGCATCAGAACTCATTTTAGGTGTTAATCCCCACCATTTGATGAATCGGAATCCTTAAATTGCCTGCAAATGACAAAGCTCTTTGCCCTATTGCCCAATACAGTTGCCTGGATTGGAAAAGGAGACTATTCTATCCCTACATGATGTGTTTCTTACATGAAACTCTTCGCTGATAATGGAGCTATAAGGCAGGTCCCTAAGAATAAATCTAAGGGTTAGAGAGTCCCCATTATTGGAAGTATTTTCTTCTCTCCCTCTTTCATTTTATGCCAGTCCAGTCTTCTCAACTTCCTGAGAAGTGTTTCCATGTGTTCTGTTATAAATGCCACATTGCTAGCACTCCAGCAAGGGAACTGGAAGGAGAGAGGAAATGTAAGCATATGCCCTGCAGTGCCCAGAGAGCCTCTTGGCACCATTTCTCCTGTCAGAGAATAGGACATTTGCCACCTGGCCTTTTTAGTCTCTTATTTTTAAAACATCTTCAATTTTCTGTGGTTCTCCCTATAGGATAATTTCAATAAAGCCCCAGGTCAACCTTTAAATTGATACATGTTCATTGATTGCTCATGACCTGACCACTGAGTAACAGTATGCTGACCTAGGTCAGTGGAAGGTGTTGAAAGGTAAGGATGCCTACATCTAAGCTGGACAAAACGGAATGATGGAGAAGCCAGTGTCAGTTGCCATGAGTGGAGCAGCGTTGACTGCAAATTCCCACAAATCATTTCCACTTTATATCTACACGTGGAGTCATTTACTCACAATAAGTAAGACAAAGACATATTTATCCGTTGCTCAATATAGTCCTTCGACAA